TCCGAATATGATTGGAACATTAAACAAAATATAAGCAAAGAAAGAAAGGAAAATAAATGAAAACGAAATTAAACACAAGCTCCCAACTAAACCCCAAATGGAATTTGGGTCGGCCAAGGTGGATGCATGAGAACAAAGGACGCGAGACCCTCGTCGCCTATGGATTCCCGAAGCTCACCGAGCCTGCGACACGTGTCCTTCGAAACCCCACACTCATAAACACTCTTTCCACATATGACAAAAATCGAATCACAATCTTTCGGATGAAAAACGGCTGCCACCACAGTATCCCGGTCACCATCAGCGGTGACGGCATCCGGAAAGCTCAACTCCCTCTCGCCAACCAAATCCCACGTGTCGCCATCCCAATGGTCCAATTCCCAAACCCTCACCACGAAGCATTTCGGGCCCGTCCCGGCCCTCAAAACGTGCAACAACCTCAACTTATCCCTCACGGCACCAATGTGGACCCTCGAGTCGGGCGTGTCACAGGTGGTGTTTTCACACACAATGTCCGGGAAGTAGATTACGGCAAACTGACTATTGGCCAAATCAAAAGAAACAATGCGGTCGAAGTTATATAAACCGTCCATCCAGTACAGAATCCCATTGCACGAAACGACATTGGTGATAATGGGATAGTCCATTGTGGGGCGCCTAGGCACCAAGAAGAAATAAGAGTTCCATTGCCCCGACTCCGAGCAAAACACCCACACCGTTTGTTCATATCTATCGACAAGGTCTTCTCCTTCTTCACCAAGCAATCTAATCTTGTCGAGAAGTACCACCTTGTAAGAGTTCTTATGGCATATTAATGCAAACCCTGCCTTTGTTCCAAGAGGGGTTTGTCTAGGAATGAGAAACCACTTTTTAGTCACCGGGTTACAAATACAGTACCTCTGATGGCCGCGGTAAAAGCGGGTATCGGGGGACACGAGCAACAAGTCATTGCACGATGCTCTTACGACCATGAGTGAAGAAGGCATGAAGTCGAGATAATTAGACGATGATAATAATGCATGCTTTCCGCCGTGGATAAGCAAAGATTCCTCCGAGAACAGAGTGCAAACCAATTGAAAATACGTTGGGGACTCTTCGAAAAAACGATAATTCATGTGGAACAGAATGGTGTAGGATTGATCTCGATCTTGATGGAGGCGGATGAAGCTAGGGATGAATTGGGGTTGAGAGATCAATGAATGCCAACGCCAACAAACGGAGCTCAACTGAATAACAGATCGACAATTCGGGAGTCTAAAAAGGATTTCTGATAAAAGTTCTTCACCGACACATGACAGCAACACTTCTGATGCTCGAAAGTGAACAAATGAGTATTAGATATCTAATTATGTAGTTTATGTTACTATAGCAACAATCTCAATTACCGAGTCCATTGTCAACAAAGTCCTCAATGCTTGTCCTCCTCCTTTTACTTCTACCGCTTTCCTGATCATAAATATGTTTATAGATAACTAAAACGTACACTAATTTGTGTAAATTACACACAACCCCTTTGTAATATAAAAAATCAAGCACATTGGTGTTCTTCTTTTCTTTTCCTTCTAATTGTTGTATACAAAAAATTTGTTCAAAATATTTAGAGGGCTTATCCAAATCAAGCACATTACTGCAACCAAATCAAACAACATAAATGTAAAGTCAAAAAAACATACCAAAAGGAATATTAGTAAAAACATATGTAAAATAATAAAAAACACATTAAGAAGAATATTAAAAACAAAAGAACCATATGTAAACATATGTATCTATTTTTTCTAGGTGCTTACTTCTATTTTAACTAATATTCTTATTCATATGGTTCTTTTGTTTTTTAATATTCCTCTTAATGTGATTTTTATTATTTTACATCTTGATGTGTTTTTTCTAATTAACTTTTATGTTGTTTTGATTTGGTTGCAGTAATGTGCCTATCAACCCTTCGGGTCAATTTTATGAATTTGATTTACAACAGCTCGAAATATAATAACAATACAAAAAATAAAATAAAAACTGAAATTAACTTAAAAAACAAAACAAATGAAAAAACTAAATTTGAGAAAGGACCTGATTAATCACAAGATTGGGATTGGAATTCGGGCTATTATCCGATTGAGAGGCGGACACCAGAACAGCAACATGTATGGGTGATATGGTCATGTTTGATTTCCTTCCGGATAATCCGAATACAACTCTCGGGTCTGTTATAAAATTATTAATTAAACTAAAAATATCCAAATTATAAACACAAGGAGTAGAGAAAATTAGAAAATAAGAGTTTTACCTGTGATCGGCATTAACGCTGAAAGTTGATTCATCTTCTTTTTCCTCAGAGTTGATTTTAGAAGTATTTGTTGTGTGTAGATATGTTAGGTTTTAACATAAAGGGGCGAGGCGAGCACAAGTTTGTATAATTTTCATTCCGGCCCTCCAACTTGTGTGATTTTACATACTTATTGAACTTCTATTTGTTCCTTAATAAAGTGGTAAGAATTAGTAGAAAAAAATCAGTATATTCCAATGTGTACATTGAAATTCTTACCGTTAAATTATGTACATACATATATGCACACGATTGCATGTAATGTGAAAAAACCCGACATATATTATACAGACGAGTATCTGATATAACATTTGGATTGCAATATGAAAACTCGTGATTCAAGTTGACTGGCCGAGCTAAACCCGAGTTGGGCATACCTATAATATGCAGGGAGTAAGGGCGAGCTAGGCCCGCATGCTGAAGTGTAGCATTTAATATACGGCTCGGAGGGGCCATAAGTCCGGACGGCCGAGCTAGACTATCGCCCTTGACGAGCTAATAGTGATAGTAGCCGCAACAGGGTATGGGTGAGCTCAGTCAGGCACGCTAAAGGAAATTGGCTGATTGCCACGAGAAAACCATTGAAGTTGGCGTGGTGAAGCCTTTAGGGAGTAGCTCGGCGGAACCAAGGAGAGGTCGGGCTACTGGTGGTAGGAGAGCCGAGCTGGTGCCCGTGTAACAAGATGTGCGGAATTTACTCAAAGAGATTGAGTACGGGTAAAACTCTGTCATTGGTTAACTTGTGGAGGCAGGTAGGAGGAGGATTCCATTGGATCTAAAGTCTCATGATGCGGGAATCTTGGGCTTATATAAAAGACATGTTCTTCATTCTTTACACAAAAAAACACACACGTATACTTTCTGAATACTCTACCGTTTCTCCTGAAAAAACCCTACTGACTTGAGTGTCGGAGTGTTTACGCCGGGACAACCCCCGGCATGCTTTGCAGGTACCGGAGATCGAGACGAAAGAAACCGGTTCGAGAGGAACGGTTGAGCGGCTTGCAAATTCGTGGTGTAACAATATCTACCGATTCAAATGTGTAATTAATTAATAATATTGATAATACATAATTAAACTTGAGTATAGGGAGACTTCTTTAAAAATCCCCAAGTCCCTTTTCAAATTCATGTTCAGTCCCTCCCCCTTATTTGTTTCCTTTTAACTACCTACCCCCTTAATTAAGTTCCACTTAAATC